TACATGGGCCGAAGGTGTGGCGTCCGTCATCCATCATCCGTCCGGCGTCCATCATCCGTCCGGCGTCCATCATCAATATTTTACTTTAAACAAATTCTTCTTAATTACCAAAAGGCCTAGGGGGATGATATTTGGCTAGAAGCAAACTGGGATGAAGGGCTACCAAGTTTCTTCAAATAAATGACCTTCACCCATTTTCAAGGTCACATGGGTCAAATATGTTAAAAACTTTAAACAACTTCTTAAATCTTTTAAAATGTTCTTTTAAATGACTTTTAATCGTAATTACTGATATTTTGCCTGTAGCTTTATTTTAGATCACTTTTAAGGTTGCAAGTGAGAGATTCATACCAGGTGAGCGATGCAGGCCCATTGGGCCTCTTGTTTATAAAATAATGTTTTGAATTCTCTCTATTAGTTTTATATCATATATTTGATAGGGGGTGTCACAATATATTGCAATACAAAAGGAATGTATTGCAATACATATATATCCCGATATATTATCATAGGAAAAAGATACTCAATTAAATTGTTGTCACTTATAAGATGAATCACACTGATTTTTGTAAAACCAACCATCGATTATGAAATTCTAACTGATATCTGTCAAATGTAATGGACTGTTCATGCTTATTTGCATACCTGTTAGAATGTGTAGTAAATTTCAAAGCTAAAAACATGTAACCTAGCAAATGCTTATGGAGATAAGCTTTTGAAAAATATTGTGATACAGCGATATTTCATTTTTATATTGCAATATACGATACAGAAGGCCTGTACATATATTGCAATATTTATCAGTTTTCCAATATACTTATTTATTGTGACAACCCTACAATATATACAATGAATACTCAGAAATTGGAAGCCTGCTCCTTAATGGTTATGGAAGAAGATGATTTAGGATAGACTTATGTTTCACATAACACTTACGCACACTTAGAAATATAAAATGTGCATTAGTAAAATACTGTACGCATCACATTTTGCAGGTTTCTGATTGGTGTATTTGACATCAAACTAGTGACTTATACATATACAACTGCAGGGCTAGAAGTTAATTTTGAATACATGTACCACTATATCGCTAGTCAATTGCTCTGCATAGTAGTTTCCTATTTTTAGCTCACCCGGCACGAAGTGCCAAGTGAGCTTATGTCGTGGCGTGGCGTCCGTCGTCCGTCCGTCCGTCCTCGTCCGTCAACTTTTCCTTTAAACAACTTCTTCTGAAGAACGGACAGGCCTAGAGTCATGATATTTGGCTGAAAGCTTCGTTGGTAGGAGCCCTACAAAGTTTGAGAACGAAAATGACCTTGACCTGTTTTCAAGGTCACAGGGGTCAAATATGTCAAAAACTTCAAACGACTTCTTCT